CACTTGAGCCACAGCGCCACTTCCGGCTTTTTTCTTTTGGCTTATGTGGTGCTGAGGAATCGAACCCAGGGCCTCAGGCATGCAAGGCAAGCGCTCTACCACTGAGCCATCGTCCCAGCCCCAAGAGTTACATTTTTTGTATTGAAGTTTTTGTTTTTTGTGTATTAGTTCTAGAGCTTGAACCTGAGCCTGGGCATTGTCCCTAAGCTTTTGTGCTCAAGGTTATCTCTCTACCACTTGAACCACAGCTCTACTTTTGGCGCTTTTTTGTTGTTGTTGTTGGTTATGAGGCTTGAACTCTGGGCCTGGGCACTGTCCCTGAACAATTCAGCTCAAGGCTAGTGCTCTACCACTTGAACCACAGTGCCACTTCCTGCTTTTTCTGCTTATGTGGTTCTGAGGAATCGAACCCAGGGCCTCAAGCATGTGAGGCAAGCACTCTATCACTGAGCCACCTTCCAAGTCCCTTCTTTTTTGGTACTCAGTTGGAGATAAGAATCTCATGGCTGGGCTGGTGGCTCACACCTGTAATCCTAACTACTGTGGAGGCTTAGATCTGAAGATTGCGGTTCTAAACCAGCCAGGGCTGGAAAGACTGTGAGATTCTTATCTCTAATAAACCACTCAGAAATCCGGAAGTAGAACTGTGGCTCAAGTGGTAGAGTGCTAGCCTTGGGCTGAAGAACTGAGGGGCAGCGCTCAGGCCTAGAGTTCAAGCCCAACAACTGACCAAAAAAAAAAAAAAATCTCGGACTTAATTGTCCAGTCTGGCTTTCAGCTGTGGTCCTCAGACTTTAACTTCCTGAGTAGTTAGCATTACAGGCATGAGCAACTGGCCCCCAGGAAGAGTTAATCTCTAGTTGTATTCATGGACACTTTCATTATATCTCTAGCTTTTTAACTCAGGACTCATATATTCCCAAAACACTTTTGTTTTATGAGCTAGGAGCATAACTGGTAGGATACTTTTTTTTTCTCCCTTCTTTTTTTGCAAATTCATTAGTACATACCTGAAAATCATAAGTCACCCTCTAAAAATGTCACAGTAGGAATATTCAGAAACCATCACGTCCCTCCCAACAGCAAATAACTAAGCATCTGAATTTCTATTCAGGCTCCCTTTGCAGCCCTGTGCTCCAGTTATGCCAACGCTCAGTGCTGCATTTGTGGATGAGAACTTGCCTGATGGGACTCACCTTCAACCAGGAACTAAGTTTATCAAACACTGGAGAATGAAAAACACAGGAAATATAAAGTGGAGTGCAGATACCAAGGTATTTTTTTCCCACAAACTGTGAAGACAAACTGATGCCAGGCGCTGGTGGCTCATGCCTGTAATCCTGGCTGGGCAGCAAAGTCCATGACACTCTTATCTCCAGTTAACCACTAAAAAACTGTTAAGTGGCTTTGTGGCTCAAGTGGTAGGTGCTTGCCTTGAGCTGAAGAACTCAGGGACAGTGCCTACGCCCAGAGTTCAAGCCCCATGACTGACCAAAAAATATATATATATATTGATATAAGCTCCTTGGGAGGCTGAGATATGCGAACCGAGGTTTGGTTCAAACAAATCCTCAAGAGCCTCTATGGAGAGAGTTCCAGCAAGAAGCTGGAACTGGAGGCATGGTTCAAGTGGTAGAGTGCCAGCCAAATGCACAAAAAATCCAAGTGAGAGCATGAGACTTTTTAATAAAAGAGATTTAAGAGCTAGAGTATACAGTTAACAAAATTTCTTCTGGTTATTATTCTTTTCAGCTCAAATTCATGTGGGGAAACTTGACTTTGGCATCTACAGAAAAGAAGGATGTTTTGGTTCCAAGTTTGAAGGCTGGCCATGTGGGCATTGTGTCTGTGGAGTTCATCGCCCCAACCTTAGAGGGAACATACACTTCCCATTGGCGTCTTTCTCATAAGGGCCAACAGTTTGGCCCTCGGGTCTGGTGCAATATCATAGTAGATCCTTTTCCTTCCTCGGAGAACTCTGATAACATTGAAAGGAGCATGATTAGCACAAGCAAAACTGGTGATGTCACCTGCCAGCAAGAGGTGAGCATTGACAGACTCTGGCCTAATATACAGTTATTTCTTCAAGAGTTAAAGATAGGGGTGTTGGTATATGCTTATAATTCCAGCACTTGGGAGGCTGAGGCAGGGGGATCTTTGGTTCAAGGGAGTCTGGGTTACATAGTGAGACTGTCTAAAACTAAAAGACCCCTTGTTTATAGCTAGTTGTTCTTCCAGAAATCTTGATAGTGTTTGTCACTTTCTATCACATACAAAAATACCTGGGACAACTTACAAAAGGTAAAGGTTTGTTAGCTTTAGAAGTTCCAGTCCATGATTGGGCAGATCCATAGTTTTTTAAGCCTGCAGTGGAAATACCCAGCTGCACCAATGGGGAGCATGTGACAGAGCAGTATTGTTTACCTTCCTGACCAGGAAGCAAATGGAGAAAGAAGAGGCTGGGGTCTCCTTCCAGGGCATGACCCTATGACCTAAAGATTTCCCACAAAGCCCTATCCTAAAAGTACTGCCAAATTTTCCAGTAGTGCCATGACCCTGGCAGCCAAACCTTACACTCCTGCAGAACACATGACAGTCAGTTTCTCGACCTTCCCCAACACATTTATGGGCTGATATTGGTCTTGTCCTCCGGGCTTTTATTGTCCTTAATGCAGGCAGTTCTTTTTTTTTTTTTGGTTGTGGGGCTTGAACTCTGGGCTTGGGCACTATCCCTGCACTCTTCAGCTCAAGGCAAGCACTCTACCACTTGAGCCACAGCACCACTTCTGGTTTTCAAGTCATTTATTGGAGCTAAGAGTCTCACAGACTTTGCTGCCCAGGCTGGCTTTGAACTGTGATTCTCAGATCTCAGCCTCCTGAGTAGCTAGGATCACAGGCGTGAGCCACCAGCACCCGGCTAGGCAGTTCTTTTAAGCACTTTGCCAACTTTTTGTATTGGTGCTTGCTCAGTTCTTGACTGCATAAGGGAAAGAAGGGCTACTTGGTCCACCTGGTCTAGACTGTGGAACTGCCAACTAATAACTGTGTTCTTTAACATTTGTCCCCTCCTGAATGTCCCTATGTATTCCCTATATACTAATGAAGGCTTGCCTCGCTTGTTATTTGATACACAAGTTTCTTTTATACAATATCCCTATAAGTGGGGCAGACTGTTTATTCTTAAATGAGACTTATTCAGAGTTCATGCCTGATTTGGGCTCTTACAGTTGTGTAAAGTGTAGTCATTAAAGTAAACTGGGTGAGGCCTGGGAAGGTGGCTCAGTGGTAGAGTGCTTGCCTTGCAGGCATGAGGCCCTAGGTTCCATTCCTCAGTACCACATAAGCAAAAAATAAATAAATAAATAAAAATAAAGTAAACTGGGTGAAAAGGTAGGATGTGACCTCTAAAATTATATCAGACAAAGGCAAAGAGGTTCAGCAGCGTTTGGGGAGGCATTGTCAGAAATAGTGCTGCAATTCTGTTGAGGCCCTAACATATATTTCAATTGTTTGTCTCTATAGGAAATGTTTCCCCTAGAAAAAGAAGAAAATGAAGTGACTCTGCAGTCAGAAGGAACAGGAACCAGCAGCACATCAAAGACAAAGAGTGTTGCCAGTGAGAGAGAGCTCTACATCCCATCCGTAGACCTCCTGACCGCCCAGGTAGGACATTCAGCACTTTGAGGAGCAAGGGACAGAGAGAAAGCATTAACAAGCAATGTCACCTATGGCAGAGAAGTTGGTATAGCCATAGGTGGTTACCAAGAAGTTAAAGATAAGCCCACTTGATCCAGTCAGATGATAAAGGAAGTCACCCAAGGAAGCAAGTTTCTCAGTTGTTTCACCTGAATTGGGAACTTAGTCTTCTATTTACCCACATCTTCTGTTTAGTTGCTTCCTCTTCTTTTTAGCCTATTTCCTTTACCTTTACATCCACTGTGTTTCCCCACCATCCCCCCACCTTCTCAGTGAGACTAGAATTTGAACTGAGGACTATATGCTTGCAGGACTGTACCTCATAAGCCATGCCTCCATTCTTCTTGCTTTAGTTTGCTTTTCCAACAGAGTCTTATGCTAACATTGCTTGGGCTAGGCCTCAGACCATGATCCTCCTACCTCTACCTCCCAAATACCTAGGATTACAGGAATGTACCAACACACCAGAGGAGGATTTGTGTGTTTGCTTTTCCTTTTTTTTTTTTTTTTTGTCGGTCGTGGGGCCTGAACTCTGGGCCTGGGCACTGTCCCTCAGCTCTTCAGCTCAAGGCTAGCGCTCTACCACTTGAGCCACAGCGCCACTTCCGGCTTTTTTCTTTTGGCTTATGTGGTGCTGAGGAATTGAACCCAGGGCCTCAGGCATACAAGGCAAGCACTCTACCACTGAGCCACCTTCCCAGCCCCTTCCTTTTTTTTTTTTTTTTTTTTCTCTTTTTTCTTTTTCTCTTTTCCTTGATATCAGTTTGAGCTCAGATTTTTACCTTGCTTGGCTGGCATTCTAGCACCTGAGCTACACCTCTAGCCTAGCTTTTTGCTAGTTATTTTGGAGATGGCTTCAGACCTTGATCATCTACATCTCCATCTTTTGCAAGGATTATAGGCAAGAGAAACCAGTGCCTGACACTGGCTTGTGTTTTTGTTTTGCAGGACCTGCTTTCCTTTGAATTGTTGGATATAAACATTGTCCAAGAGTTGGAAAGAGTGCCCCACAACACCCCTGTGGGTAAGAATGTTACTTGGCTCATCTTGTTTATGCTATTAATATGTGTAAAGGTACTGCAGTTTAGACTCTGGTAGTTGTTATTCTAGCCTGAGGAAGTTAATGGCAAGGATTTCTACCACAGTGGAACAGTAAAGCTTTATCATGGTCCATTTTCCTCCTTTCAGAAGCAACAATACAAGTTTGTATAAGACTTCCTTACTAGAAGGCAGGCACCTTCTTCTGTTTTCCTCCCTTTGTTCCTTTACATTTCATGATTTTGTGTCTTGGCCATGACCTTTTAGGCCAGTTAACTGTTTTTGATACTTCTTGCATTGTTTGATAGTCCTGAGATTAGTTGCATACCTGGTAGTCTGGAGAAATTCTTTGTACAGGTTTGGGAGCATATCTGGTTTTTATTTTAGCCCTACAGGAGGCAAGAAACTTATGAACTGCTTCTTCTGGATACTGATTATTAATGATGTGATGCTTTTTCTCAGTTGATGGTTCTCCTGTCTTCATTCTCCAGATATGACTCCCTGCATGTCTCCTCTGCCACATGACAGTCCTTTAATAGAGAAGCCAGGCTTGGGGCAGATACAGGAAGAGAGTGAAGGGGCGGGATTTAAAGCACTTCCTGGTAAGGGGTTAAACAGTTGTAAAGCTTTTGCATCCTTTCTTTTTATACCACACCCTATTTTTATACTTACTCCTTACTAACCTTACCTCAGCATGTAAATGGGTGTCCTGTGGCATCTTTTTTGAAGTCTCCCCCATGGCACAGAGAGCAGCTGTTTTTTGACGTAGTCTCAGCATGTTGATAGTAACTGGTGAAAGCTCTCAGCTCTATGCCAAGTGAAGACAGGTTTATGTCTCTTTCAAATTCTACAGTATCCACAAAGAAGGTTGAGAACACTGCTTCTGTGGAGGAAGGAGAAGAAGACCTTAGTGGGACCCAGTTTGTTTGTGAGACTGTAATCCGATCCCTTACCTTGGATGCTGCCCCAGACCACAATCCACCTTGCAGACAGAAGTCCTCCCTGAGTAAGTATCCTTGCAGGATGAGCTTTGTAGAAATTCTGACCAAATTTGAGCATGCTATGTGACCAGTTTAACTAGAACTCAAACTCATTTCTGAACTTTCTCAGGAGAATTAAACCAGCATTCCACAGAGGAACAGCAAACAATTATGCCTGAACTCTGCAGAAAGGAATCCTCCTGTAAGTTTGACAGAGCTCCTCATCAGAGACCCCTTCTGGCAGCTCAGTGTTTGCTTTTTTTTTTTTTGGTCAGTCGTGGGGCCTGAACTCTGGGCCTGGGCACTGTCCCTCAGCTCTTCAGACCAAGGCTAACACTCTACAACTTGAGCCACAGCACCACTTCCAGCTTATTCTGCTTATTTGGTGCTGAGGAATCAAACTCAGGGCCTCATGCATGCAAGGCAAGCACTCTACCACTACTGAGCCACCTTCCCAGCCCGTTTGCTTTTTTTTTAGGGCAACAGTTCAAAAATAGTAAGAAGCAAGAATGCCAAACTAAGGGCCCTGGGAAAGTGGTAGAGTGCTTGCCTTGCATGCATGAGGTCCATGGGTTTGATTCCTCAGCACCACATAAGCAAAAAGAAACAAGCCAGAAGTGGCACTGTGGCTCAAGTGGTAGAACGCTAGCCTTGAGCTGAAGAACTGAGGGACAGCACCCAGGCCCAGAGAGTTCAGGCCCCACGACCGGACCCAAAAAAAAAAAAAAAAAAAAAGAATGCCAAACTAAGTTTCCCAAGGCTAAATTTATTTGTTTTATTGCTGAGGCTTGAACTCGGGGACCTCAAGTTTATTCAACTTGCTTGCTTACTCATGGCTGGCACTCTCCCATTTGAGCCATGCCTCCAAGCCAGTGTTTTATTGGTTAACTGGAGATGGAGTCTAAAGGAATTTTCTTCCCAGGCTGGCCTTGAAACCATGATCTTCTAGGTCTCAGCCTTCTGAGTAGCTAGGCCTCATGAGCCATCAACTTCTGACACCCAAGATTAAATTTTGTTTTAATAAATAGCTTCATAAACCTGGGCACCAGTGGTTCATACCTGTAATCCTAGCTACTCAAGAGGCTGAGATCTGAGGATAACAGTTCAAAGCCAGCCCATGCAGGAAAGTTCATGAGACTCTTACTCCAATTAACCACCTGAAAACCAGAAGTGGGGCTGTGGCTCAAGTGGTAGAGTGCTCACCTTGAACTTAGGAACAGCACTCGGGCCCAGAGTTCAGGCCCCACAATCAACTAAATAAATAAATTGTTTTGTAACAGAACCTGCTAAATGTCAGATAGGTAGAGCCAATACTATGTGTCTAAAGAACTATCCCAAACAACATTTTATGTGCACAAAAATAATATGGAAAATAAATCTCTGTTTATTCTAGTGAAGTTTATTTATTTATTTTTTTGGTCCAGTTGTGGGGCCTGAACTCTGGGCCTGGGTGCTGTCCCTCAGCTCGTCAGCTCAAGGCTAGCGCTCTACCACTTGAGCCACAGTGCCACTTCCAGTTTTTTCTTTTTTGCTTATGTTGTGCTGAGGAATCGAACCCACAGCCTCATGTATGCAAGGCAAGCGCTATACCACTAAGCTACCTTCCCAGCCCATCTAGTGAAGTTTTAATGTATACTTTTTTTTTTTTTTTTTTGATGTTGGTACTGGAGTTTGAACTCAGGGCCTCATACTTATTAGGCAAGTGTTCTTAGTTAGCCTTTCCCTATACTTTTTTTTTTTTTTTTTTTAATGCTGGTCCTGAGGCTTGAACTCTTATCTAGTCACTGTCTTTGAGCTTTTTGATTTGTTTTGCTTTTTGTTTGTCAGTCGTGGGGCCTGAACTCTGGACCTGGGTGCTGTCCCTCAGCTCTTCAGCTCAAGGCTAGCACCCTACCACTTGAGCCACAGTGCCACTTCTGGCTTTTTTCTGCTTATGTGGTGCTGAGGAATAGAACCCAGGGCCTCATGCATGCGAGGCAAGCACTCTACCACTGAGCCACCTTCCCAGCCCTCCTTGAGCTTTTTTGCTCAAAGTTAGCACTTTATCACTTGAGCCACAGCTCCACTTCTGGGAATTTGGTGCTTAATTAGAGATGACTGCCCAGGCTGGCTTAGTACTATGGTTCTCAGATCTCAGCCTCCTGAGTAGCTAGGATTACAGGTATGAGCCACAGGTGCCTGGCTCCCTGACCTATACTTTTAAATATGACTTGTCTTAGTTTAAAGTATATACATACACATTTTTAAATTTTCTTTTTCTGTGCTAGTTCTGGGGCTTGAACTCATAGCCTGGGCACTGTCCCTGCACTTCTTTTGCTCAAAGCTAGCACTCTACCACTTGAACCACAGTGCCACTTCCAGCTTTTTCTGTTTATGCCATACTGAGGAATAAAACCCAAGGCTTCATGAATACCAGGCAAGCATTGTACCACTAAGCCACATTCCCAGCCCGTACATCTATATTTTTTTCACACATATGTACAAATGCTTAACCAAAAGATCTGAAAGGACTTAACACCTAAATATTTGTTCATAGTCTTTATTCTGATAGGATTTGTGGACACCTTTTCTCTGCCTATACATCACTTTTGTAAGGAGAAGGAAAGTAGACCTTCAGCCCTAGAGAACTCACAACCTGAATTTTTTTTCTTTTTTCTTTTTTTTTTTTTTTTGGTCAGTCATGGGGCTTGAACTCTGGGCTTGGGTGCTGTCCCTTGAGCTCTTCAGCTCAAGGCAAGCGCTCTACCACTTGAGCCACAGCACTACTTCCAGTTTTCTAGTGGTTTATTGGAGCTAAGAGTCTCACAGACTTTGCTGCCCAGCTGGCTTTGAACCGACATCCTCAAATCTCAGCCTCCTGAGTAGCTAGGATTACAGGCGTGAGCCACTGGCGCCCGGCTTAATTTTCTTTTTATAGCTTTGTTAGCTAGTATTACCAGTTCTGGGGATAGAGGACTCTTTTTCTGCCTAGGGTCATTTAGATATTTATAACATCATTCACAGGACACATCAAATTATCAATACAAGCAGATGGGCCATTTACAGCTATTGAGAAGCATACATTATCTGTCCTGTAATATACCAAATGATTTTGAGAGCTTTAAGTGCCGGGCGCTGGTGGCTCACGCCTGTAATCCTAGCTACTCAGGCTGAGATCTGAGGATCGTGGTTCAAAGCCAGCCCGGGCAGGAGAGACCATGAGACTCCTATCTCCAATAAACCACCAGAAAACTGGAAGTGGCGCAGTAGCTCAAGTGGTAGAGTACTCGCCTTGAGCTGAAGAGCTGAGAGACAGCGCCCAGGCCCAGAGTTCAAGTCCCACGACCTACAAAAAAAAAAGAAAAGAGAGCTTTAAGTGGTCTGTGAACTGATGTTCTCCACCCCTAAAAGCTCTGTCCTGGTTATGTTAACCATTATATGTTAATTATCATATGAACTAGAAAAAGGATAGGCTTTCTGATTTTAAGATTCATAGTTCTACATAGTCTTTAAACATAGAATATGGCCCGTACTTCCCTGTGGTTCTCCCCATCTTCTAGCTTTCATAATACTAGCTCATTATCCAGAAAACTTCACCAAACAAGGATAGCACTAGGGGCTGCTTGTAACTTCTACCTTCAAATTGGTTACTTTCATCCTTTAGTGAAATTTGCATTGCCTGAAGAGGGACCACTTGGAGATGAGAGAGAAGAGATTGTCCATATTGCTGAGGAAGAAATCGTTGTGGAGGAAGAAGAGGAACTCAAGGATGAAGTTCAGAGTCAGTCTTCTTCGTCCTCAGAAGATTACATCATCATCCTGCCTGAGTGCTTTGATACCAGCCGTCCCCTGGGGGATTCCATGTACAGCTCTGCACTCTCGCAGCCTGGCCTCGAAAGAGGAGCTGAAAGCGAGCCTGGAGTTGAGGCTGGTCAGGAACCGGCTGAGGCTGGGGAGAGACTCCCTGAAGGGGAGAGCCAGCCACAAGAGCAGAATATCAGTGATATCCTCATGACCTCACAGACTCTGGAAACTATGCCCCTAATCCCAGAGGTTGTGGGGCATCCACCACTGCTGCCCAGGTACCATTCACGCCCCCTTCAACTGGGGTGCTCTTCAGAGGTGAAATAAAAGTGGGAGGAACCGACTTGATCTCAAAACCTGCTTTTTCGTCAGTATGGGAAAAGATGATTTCCCATAGTGAAGTCTGAATTTAGATGAATAAAAGTCGTATTTCTCAGTATTTGTGGATTTTGGATTTAAAGTTTTGTTTTAGTCAACCTTATTTATCTGATAAAACTTTATTTGAGGATTAAGCATGTAGCTCACTGGTAGAGAGCCTGCCTAGCATGCATGAGGCCCTGGGTTCCATCCCCAGCATGGCAAAACAACAGAAAACACCTCATCCATATATTAACAAAAAAAAAAAAGCATAATTAGGGAGTTAAATCCGTGATAAGGGAAAAAAAAAAACATTGCCAACCCAAATAGAAATTATTATTCAGTTCTCTACTGGATCTACCTGAGTCTTGCTCTCTTCCTAATAGTACAAAATTGCTGGAGCCCAACTGTAATTTAAACCATGCTCCCAAGAAGCTAGCCATTTTCCTTTGTCAGCACCCTTGATGTAGAGGGAAAGTGAGTGCACTGAAGTCAGTCTTTCTAGCTTGACTAAAGAAAAGCCAGAAGTAAAATGTAGTTTTGCTTAAATTCCCTTAATTCACACATCTGTATCAGATCTGTCATCTTTTCATCTGTCATCTGTATCGGAAATGTGAAGCCTCTGTAGAGAATTTGGCACTGCCGTGCTGTGTGTACTGTTTCTCTACTGTTGCCATAGGTGTTTTTCAACTTACTTTCCATATTGTGTCTTTCTGAAAGGAGCCCTCCTTGTGTACAACATGGTTCCCTGGGAGTGGATTTACCAGTTACCATACCAGAAGTTTCTTCAGTCCCTGATCAGATCAGAGGAGGTAATGACAAGCTGAGCTTCATCTCTTTTCTCTCTGCTCCTTTCTAGTGGAAACTAGGTTTAGTAAAGGCTTTCCATCTTCATGATTCTTGGCAGTTTTTTCAAAACATGCCCTTTCCCTCTTTTGTGCTCCTCCCTTATACTTTTTTTTTTCCTTCAGTTTTGGGGCTTGAACTCAGAGCCTGGATACTGTCCTTGAGCTTTTTCACTCAGGGCTTGTGCTCTACCACTTTGGGCCACAGTGCCACTTCTGGTTTTCTACTGATTAATTGGAGATAGGGTCTCATGGACTTTCCTGCCTGGGCTGGTTTTGAACCATGATCCTCAGGTCTCAGCCTCTTGAGTAGCTAGGATTACCTCATATTCTTTATTTCTGTTCTCAGAATATTTATTGAAACCTCAGAGTTGTTAGGTATTGTGCTGTGGTGGAATTAACATAGGTTTGGAGTCTGGCCAGTTTAGATTCCAGCTCCACTTCCACTTTCCCTGACTGTGACCATGCAGCCACTCTGTTGATTTATAATGCCTGGGTCTGTTGCCTTATCTGCAAAATTAGGACGATAGCACTGTATAGTTGTGAGTAGATCTACAAAGCCACTTCTCACTATTCCCCAAAAAGCTGATTCTAAAAGTGTTTGAGAACTAATACATCCATGTATTATAGAACTTTTTTTAGGGGGAGGACAGGACTGGGGTTTGATCTCAGTCTGTGCTTGCTCTACTGCTGAGACACTTCAACACAGAATTAATTTATTTTTATTTTTTTGTCAGTGGTAGGGCCTAGGTGTTGTCCCTGAGCTCTTCAGATGAAGGCTAGTACTCTACCAATTGAGCCATAGCACCACTACCAGTTTTCTGGTGGCTTATTGGAGATAGAGTCTCACAGACTTTCCTGCCTGGGCTGGCTTTGAACTGTAATCCTCAGATCTCAGCCTCCTGAGTAGGTAGGATTACAGGAGTAAGCCACCATTGCCCGGCAGAATTAATTTTTTGAATCAATGTTGCATTGCAATTCTGGACAATTGAGTTTCTTATAATTTGGTTAAACCACCCATAGAATTTTTAGAAATTTAAAAAGCAAAAGAAGAAAGACATCAAATACTATGAGAAGATTTCCACCTGCCTTGATAATAGCCTTGCTGTGATTTAGGAAACACTAGGTGTTTACAGATGCTGTATCTAACCAACAGCTCTTTTGCTTTTAGAGCCCAGAGGCTCATCAGGACTTGTACACAGCAGACAGAAGAGCTATGATCACTCAAGGTAATGACCTTGTGCAGTCTCTTCTTCAGAAGCAGGTGGATATCCTAGCATTGCTTCTGCTTAAAGAGCCTCTCAAAGCATGTGTCTGTCTTCTGAGGGCCTTTATTCCTACCTTTTTGTGTGTATGTGTGCTGGTACTTGGGCTTGAATTTGGAGCCTAAGCATTGTCCTTAAGCTTTTTTTTTTTTTTTTTTGTTCAAGGTTAGAACTCTACCACTTGAACCACAGCTTCTCTTCCAGATTTTTTTTGGTGCCTCATTGGAGATTAAAAAAAAATCTCATGACTCTTGTCTGGGTCCTCTTTTCCAAATCATAATCCTTACATCTCAACCTCCTGAGTAGCTAAAGCTTTTGAGAAAAACTTTGCAGGGGGATATAGCCTCTGTTTAAGAGTTCTCACATCTCAGAAAAAAAAATTACCTAAAATTCACCTTACCCATAGTGTCAGAGAAGGAAGGCAAGTCAAACCTAGTGTGTATCTTCTTAGTTTTTTCCTTAGACATCCCTGCCTCTGCTCCCTGTCATCTCAGAGCAGTATATAGAAAAATCACATGTCCTTTACCAGGTGTTTTCTCAATGAGCAGATGGGATGTCAATACCCCAGTGTGTTCATGACCACATTAATTTCCAAACTTGAATTAAAAGTTGGCATGATAACCAGAGTGGTACACTTCCTGAAAGACATGCCCATATCTTACACCAGCAGAACTGAACTCTACATGAAACTATGATTTATAACTAGAAAACTGATGTGAAAATAGTCAAATTCTCTTTTCACATTTTACTTTTTCCTCAAGGAAACCTTTTTTTTTAAATGTTTTGAAATTGGCACATAAATCATCTTGTAAGAAGGTAACCGTTTGTTTTATGAGGGGAGATAATTTGGTTTTCCTCTACAGACACCATCATGGGAGCATTGCTGGAGGACTGGTGAAGGGGGCTTTGTCTGTTGCTGCCTCTGCATACAAGGCCCTATTTTCTGGGCCACCAGTCACTGCACAGGTAAGTGTTTCATTTTCCTCAAACTCAATAAATCACAGGTAAAAATGATGTCCTCTGTGTAGGGAGCTACTTGGCACTATGGAAAAAGCATGGGCTCTAGTCTTTGTTAATGCATAATATATAGAGGAGATACTGCAGGTGTGATGCTATAAAATAAATAAAGCAATGGCTTCTGCCCAAATACTGTGTAAGACAGGTGAGACAAACTGATATTGACAGTCAGAGTAAGAGAGGTGAGCATGAGCTCAAATGGCAGAGTAGACAAGCTCAATTCCAACAGCAGGAAAAATAAAAACAAATACAGGATAAGATACTATGCCATTGCAGTTAGATATAATAGAAAAATACACCTAAAGCAGGACAGTGGTGGCTTACACCTATAATCCTAGCTACTTAGGAGGCTGAGAAATGAGAACTGCAGTTCAGAGTCACCCCAGCCAAGGAAGTCCTTGAGACGTACCTCCAATTAACCACTGGAAAACTGGAAGTGGTGCTATAGCTCAAAGTGCTAGAGCACTAGCCTTGAGCAAAAGAGCTGAGAGGCAGTGCCCAGGTCTGGTGATCAAGCCCCATGACCGACAAAAAAACAAAAACACCTCAATCTAGTGAGGCAAGAGGTTGGTAGATAATGCCTGAACTGAATTAATCCTTCTTACCTTTCCTTTTTTCTTGTTGTTGTTGTTGGTTGTGGGGCTTGAACTCTGGCCTGGGTGCTGTCCCTCAGCTCTTCAACTCAAGGCTAGCACTCTACCACTTGAACCACAGTGCCACTTCTGGTTTTCTGGTGGTTTATTGGAGATCAGAATCTCAGGAACTTTCCTGCTCAGGCTAGCTTTGAACTGTGATCCTCAGATCTCAACCTCCTGAGTAGCTAGGATTACAGGCATGAACCACCGGTGCCCAGCTAATTTACCTTTTGTTTTTTGTGCCAGTCTTAGGGGTTAAATTCATGGCCTTGGCACTGTCCCTTAGCTTTTCCATTCAAAGCTAACACTCCACCACTTGGGCCACAGCTCCACTTCTGGCTTTTTGGTGGTTAGAGATAAAAGTCTCACATACTTTTCTGCCTGGGTTGGCTTCAAACTGAGATCCTCAGATCTCAACCTCCTGAGCAGCTAGGATTGCAGGTGTGATCTACCAGCCCCCAGCTGAAATGAATTCTAAAGGATAAGGACAAATTAAGTTTTTAGGAGAAGAGAACAGCAGAAAGTACTGTAGACCAAGTAGGTAGTAAAGACACTTGTAAGCCAGGTACTGGTGGCTCATACCTATAATACTAGCTACTCAGGAGATTGAGATCTGAGGATCATGATTCGAAGCTAGCCTTGGCAGAAAATTCCATGAGACTCTTACCTCCAGTAAACTACTCAGAAAAAGCCAGAAATGGCACTGTGACTCAAATGGTAGAGTACTAGCCTTGAGCTGAAGAGCTGAGGGACAGTGCCCAGGCCTACAGTTCAAGCCCCATGACTGGAAAAAAAAAATCACAAAAGATTAAATCTGGAAAAGAGTATGGATAATCTAAGTGGAAAGAAATGAACATACCAGAAAGTAAAATACCAGAGAGTGCTGTATGTTACATATTTTCCTCATTTTTATATATCTTCTCTATGCTGCAAAACAGGAATAATGTGAGATTGAGGCTGGGCAACAGAAATTTTAGCTACTTAGGAGGCTGAGATCTGAAGATTGTCATTTGAAGCCAGCATAAGCAGGCAAGCTGGAAGTGGAGCTGTGGTTCCAAGTAGTACAGCATTAGCCTTGAGCCGAAAAAGGTCAGAGACAGCACCCAGTTTCTAAGTTCAAGCTCTAGTATTAGTGCATGTGCACACACAAACATACACACATATACACCCACCCACACAGGAGAGAGAGGTAGATACTCAGCACAGATAGTAAGCAAATGGATTTGAGCCTAAGCCTTTCTACTTTCACAGTCAATCATCTTTCTGCTCTCCAGCCTCCAACTATCATGTGGATAAATCATCATATTAGGATTTTAAAAGGTTGTATATCTACCCCAGGGCTTGGCCCGGAGGGAAATATATTGGGAACTCCTATTACCTAGACCGCTTCTTTTTTTTTGCGGGGGGGGTCGGTTGTGGGGCCTGAACTCTGGGCCTGGGCGCTGTCCCTCAGCTCTTCAGCTCAAGGCTAGCACTCTACCACCTGAGCCACAGCGCCACTTTCGGCTTTTTGCTTATGTGGTGCTGAGGAATCGAACCCAGGGCCTCAGGCATGCAAGGCCAGCGCTCTACCACTGAGCCACCTTCCCAGCCCCCTAGACGGCTTCTGTTTTGAAAGGGAAAAGTCAAGAAGCCTGCCTGGATGTAATTTTCCAGTTTTTGTACATCTCATCTCCTTCCTGTATCAGGCAAGATTTCCCTTGCCCTATCATCACAATTTCTGTGTGTGTGTATGTGTACGTGCGTGTGTACGTGCACATACACATGTGCCAGTCCTGGGGATTGAACTCAGGGCCTGGGTGGTATCCCTGAGGTTTTTTGCTCTACCACTTGAGCCACAGCTCCACTCTCCACTTCTGGCTTTTTGGGTGGTTAATTGGAGATAAAAGTCTCACAAGCCGGGCGCTGGTGGCTCACGCCTGTAATCCTAGCTACTCAGGAGGTTGAGATCTGAGGATCACGGTTCAAAGCCAGCCCGGGCAGGAGAGACCGTGAGACTCCTATCTCCAATAAACTACCAGAAAACCGGAAGTGGCGCTGTAGCTCAAGTGGTAGAGTGCTCGCCTTGAGCTGAAGAGCTGAGGGACAGTGCCCAGGCCCAGAGTTCAAGCCCCACGCCGACCAAAAAAACAACAACAACAAAAAAGTCTCACAGATGGGCTGGGAAGGTGGCTCAGTGGTAGAGTGCTTGCCTTGCATGCATGAGGCCCTGGGTTAGATTCCCCAGCACCACATAAGCAAAAAGAAAAAAAGCCGGAAATGGCACTGTGGCTCAAATGGTAGAGTGCTAGCCTTGAGCTGAAAGCTGAGGGACAGCGCCCAGGCCCAGAGTTCAGAAACCCACGACCAGACCTGAAAAAAAAAAGTCTCACAGACTTTACTGCTAGGGCTGGCTTTGAACCAAAATTCTTAGACCTTAGCCTCCTGAGTAGGATTACAGGTGTGAGCCACTGGCATGCAGCCACAATTACTTTAATATTCACAAGGTCTCAAAGGTTTGTTTTCATCTTTTCCTTCTAGCCAAAACATGCTTCTGAAAGTCCCCTCTGAAACAGTCTCCTTATTCGTAGGAGTTTAGAATCTCCTCCATTTCCCTTTTCTCCTTTAGGTACACACATAGCTAACCTAAAGCACTCTTTACTCTTTCAGAAGATTCATTGATATCAGGTAGACAGGAATGTTCTCTCTATACTTGCACTTATTGTCTAGCTTTTGTTGTTGTTGTTGTTGTTATTTTTTGGGGGGGGAGGGGTCGGTCATGAGTCCTGAACTCTAGGCCTGGGCACTGTCCCTCAGCGGCTTTTTTTTTTCTGCTTATGTGGTGCTGAGGAATTGAACCCAGGGCCTCATGCATGCAAGGCAAGCGCTCTACCACTGAGTCACCTTCCCAGCCCCTGTTGTTGTTATTGTTATTGTTGTTGGTTTCTGAGATTTGAACTTGGCCTGGGCACTGTCCCTGAGCTCTTCAGCTCAAGGCCAGTGCTCTACTACTTGAACTACAACACCACTTCTGGTTTTCAGATGGTTAGAGATAAGAGTCTCTAGACTTTCCTGCCCTTGCTGGCTTTGAACTGCCATCCTCAGATCTCAGCCTCCTAAGTAGCTCGGATTATAGGCATGAGTCACTGGCTTCTGGTCCTGAGCTGCTTTTGCTCAAGGCTAGTGTTCTACCACTTTAGCCACTTCCAGCTTTTTAAGTAGTTTATTGGAGATGAGAATCTCATGGATTTTTATGCCCAATCCTTAGATCTCAGCTTCCTGAGTAACTAGGATTATAGGTGTAAGGCACTGGACACCTGGCTAGCATTTTTAATTAGAAAGACTAGTATGTATGACAAGACTGTAAACATTTGTAAGGTAGAGTCAGGTACTAGTGGCTCAGGCCTGTAATCCTAGATACTCTCAGGAGGCTAGATTTGAGGATCAAGGTTCAAAACCAGCCTAGGCAGGTAAGTCTGTGAAACTTATCTCCAATTAACCATAAAAAGCCAAAAGTAGAACTATGGCTCAAAGTAGTAGATCACTAGCCTTGAGCACAGAAGCTCAAAGACAGCACCCGTGAGTTCAAGCCCCAGGTTGGGCAAGAAAAAAAAAAAAGGATTTGTAAGATTAATCATTCTTGGGCTGGGAATGTGGTTAAGTGATAGAGTGCTTGCCTAGCATGCATGAAGCCTTGGGTTCACTTCCTCAGTACCACATACACAGAAAAAGCCAGAAGTGGCACTGTGGCTCAAGTGGTAGCAAAAAAAAGATCATTCATGAAATGTCTTCCTATCTTTGCCCAGCCAATAGTTTCTGAAGACCAGACAGCAGCTCTGATGGCCCATCTCTTTGAAATGGGATTCTGTGACAGGCAGTTGAATCTAAGGCTGCTGAAGAAACATAATTACAACATCCTGCAAGTTGTGACAGAACTCCTTCAAGTCAACAATAATGACTGGTACAGCCAACGCTACTGAGGAGTGACCTTGCATTAAGTAACTGCCTGCTGCTTAGAGATGATTTTTATTTGTCATTGGGGGATGGAGTAGAGACCCTTGATTATTTTTTAATCTGAAAAATCTATATAGAACCCATCATTGAATTATCAAGACACTACCAGTTATAGTATTTTTTGGAGCAAATCAAAGACCACAACCTAAATTTTTACTTTAGGAATTAGATGAGTAGTAGGAAGACAGTTTTTCAATCAATTTGGATAAAACTCCTTTCTCAGTACATTGAGGAGTGTAACTTTGACTTTCTGTAGGACCATTGTTTTCCACTTGTATTGAAGTTGGGTATTCTTTGTTGGTTCATGTGGATGTTTTTAACGAGATAGCTATTAAATGTCAGGTGTTTTTTTTCTTTTTTTAGAAATTAGCCTTGGAAGTTATGTTTAAGAATTTTCATAATTTCTGTAACCAACCCCAATCCTCATAGGCATATGTCATTGAAAAGACACCAGAGCAAGACAGAAATATTGCCACTCTCTTTCTCAAGAACAAACTCATTTTCCTGCAGGACTTTGTAAGAGCACCTTGTTTCCTAGAGACTTCATTGGTGCATCTCAGTATCTACCTTGCAAGAATCTCAAAAGTCTGAGACAGTATGCACCTGTTGAGCAGTGTCTTGTAGTCATTTTGCATATATTTTTCTTTTATTTAAGGACAAAAACTTTAGGTAGTGTGAAATATTTTGCTGATCTTATAAAGAAAAAAAGTATTACATAAAGGGAAAGAGGAATTTAATAGTCACCTGTTTTCTAAATGTCAGGGAAGATCTTATTTTATAGTAGAGTGGGGGAAATAGAAACCAGAAATGCAAGCTGGCTCTTATGTTAATGTTCAGAAGTGTGGCACAGGAAATGCTGTTGACTTATTGAATGTTTGGAATCCATTCAGAGAGACATCTAGCCCTAGAAGTGTAGCTGCTGCTTGAACAACTTAGATGGGGGCCAACTCACGGATAAGTTTGGATTAGCCCTAGAGAATTGAGTGGAAGGAGCTGCTTCTAGGAGCTCAGTTGCTTCTATTTGCAGAAAGGAAGTGTTGGACTCATTGGTATGGGAAAAGGTAACAGAAAATTAAACTTTTTATTCATGAAAGTGGCTTTCAGAAAAGATTAAAAAAAAAAAACTCCAGCTGGAGGGGAAAAGATAGTTAAAATAGTATTATTTAACCTGGTCGGTATTTATAATGAATGGCGATTTTAATTAGTCATAATGTTTATTTACAGTATAACTCTCGAATGCTACTTAAATAAACCAGAATTCAGACCGCAAGTCAACCGGGCTGTTCATTATTTACGACGTTTTTTTATCGAGGCTTCATGAAGTCAGGGTGTGGATAATGGGGTTGATTTCAAACGGGCCCGGTTTTGACCAACTGTGTCGTCCTCCCCATAGTTCCTGTACATAACCACTTAAAGAATGGTGAAATAAATGACCTTTGAAACTCCTACCTGGACTAAGGTGGTCCTTTGGGAAGAAGTGTCCGTGACCTCGGGTGACCTTTGCGGAGTTCAGGGGCGGGGCGGGGGCGCTGGGGCGGGGGCGCTGGGGCGGAGCTTCCCAAAGCACTCTGTCAAAGCTCCCGCCTACTGCCGCACTTTCGGTTCCATCCGCGAGCAGCCGTTTCTGTCCGCCTTGAGGAAGGCCGTCCTGCGTCGACTCTCTTCCTTTCCCTTTCGGAGGTAAGAACCTGAGAGACGTTTTGGGCTTCCTCTTCCAACACTGGCACACACAGGTATCCAACTCCAGCCTCTGTGTCTGATGGAGTTTGAAGTCCCATGCACACTGGCTGACACACCTCCCAACTAGAGCAGGAAGCAGCTTGGTCCTCCCAGGAAGCTACCTGATCCCCGGTGCGATCCACCGCTGCACCGCCGCATAGCCACTCCCACAAGACTGCTGTGAGGGCTGATTGCTTCTCCACCTCCCACCTCTATCCCTACATTTCTTTAGGCCCTTCTATAGAGGCATTCTAGAAAACGTGGCTTGCAGCTGAAATGAGCCAGGCATCCCGGATCAGAGCCTCTGGCTCCCTTTAGGAAGCCAGGAAGATCAATCAGTGTGCCTCGACCTGCCTACCTCATTCTGCCACCACTTGGGTCTTTTGGGGGAAAAGTGCAGATTTACTCATTCTTAATGGACAGACAGACCTTGACATGACCACAGCCACCCTCAGGCCTTTCAATCCTGCCTAAGGAACTATTTGCTTCCACTCAGGAAAACAGTCTTTAGCCCTACCTGGATGTGTGCTCTCCTTTCTCCTTGCTTAAAACAAATCCTACCTTCCTGTTACCTCAGTACTACCCAGGGCCAGGAACCAAAGCCTTCCACACCAGTATGCAGATCTCAGGCATTTCTGTCCTGGTGTTCTGAGAGATCTCTTCAGAATAATCACCAGATTAAAGATAAAAGGCCCTCTGGGTCTGTCTTGTCTCCTGCCTCAGACCTTTCCAGCTTCCTTCCTTTAAAGGAATGTCAGCTCAGCAACTTTATCAGAGAAAGTTACTAGTGCTCTGCATTCACTTATGGAAATCCCCTAAATTGAAATAACTTCTGCTTTTCTCTTTTATAGAGCATTTTGTCTCTTTCAATAATGAAATGCATTGTGATTTCATATCTGGTCTTGTGTGTCACACACCCACACACACCAAGCTTGTTGGGCTTCAGATTGCTTACATTGTGGTAGAGCTTCTTGCAAATCTTGAGAACTTAAAACCAGATTTTTGAACTCTGAGTCTGGGCTCTGTCCCTCAGCTCTTCAGCTCAAGGCTAGCACTCTACTGCTTGAGCCACAGCGCCACTTCTAGTTTTCTAGTGGTTTATTGGAGATAAGAGTCTCATGGACTTTCCTACCCGGACTAGCTTTGAACTGCGATCCTCAGATCTCACTCAGCCTCCTGAGTAGCTAGGATTACAGATATGAGCCACTGGCACCCAGCAAAATCAGAATTATTTTATTTATTTATTTATTTTTGGTCTGGTTGTGGGGCCTGAACTCTGAGCCCGGGCACTGTCCCTCAGCTCTTCAGCTC